GGGCAGCCTGCGGCCGGCCCCCGCCAGTCCCTGGGGCCCCGGCCTTGGGCCTTGCAGGGGCCCAGGTGGGGAAGCCCCGAGCCGGGCCGGCCGCAGGCCAGCGAGCATCGCAGACTCTGAACGCTTATAATCGACGCGCCCGGCGGGAAGGAAGACTCGCATCTGGGGTCTCTCCACGCTATACGTGCATCGGCCCCCCACAAAGAGAGATCTGGAGGTCCTGGTGATGACGAACAGCGGGTGGGTGTGAACAGAGGGGCGCCGGCCTCAGGTCTTCTTCCAAGCAAATGCCTCGTCGGCGAGGACCTGCGCCAGCCGGGCGTTGAAAGGGCCGTAGAAGTCCTGCAGGATCTTCTGCGTGACCGGCCACATGGGACCCAGGTTCCTGTCCTCGGGGCGCCGGGCGTTGGAGGCGGGGCTCTTGGTCATCAAGGCCTCTTGCTTCTCGCTTAAGGGTCCTGGGGTGAAAAGACGAGAACCCCATGAGGCAGGAGGCCTGGCAGGGGGCGAAAGGCACTCGGCACCCGCCCCCAAGCTGCGCTGACGGGTTTCCCTGGAGAAGGTGTTCAGAGACTAGAACGCTTGGGCCGCGGCCGCGCGAGGCAGAAACAGCATCACAAACAGCCGCGGCTACGCCAGTGTGCACACCCAATGGACGCCCCACGCAGCGCCCCTGAACCCCCTCCTGGCTTCCTTTCCAGATGCCCTTACAGCGGCTGGCAGCCTGCTGCTGGCTCACCCAGCAGCCAGCCTGGCCCGGCCCGTGCACCCAGCGGCAGCGGATGCCTTGCTCCCACTGTTTCTGCCCCAAAGAGCTGGTGCAAAGGGCCTGCGGCTGAGACCCGTCGCTGGAGCGGACAGGGGCTGGGGGACAAGCCAGCAGGGCCGCCCCTGAAGCACCACCTCTGCGCCCAGCCTCCCGCTGGCTTCAACAAGGCTCTCGGGAAACAGAAAAGCCGCATCCCGGCGTCCCGGGCTCCGCGCATGGAAGGAAGCGCCCGTCTCTGGGACAAAGACAAGCTGACGCGCGTGGCCGCTCTGCAGGTGGCCACATCACACAGCCAGGGACCGCGCTCCATCACGTGGCGAGCTCTCCATGAAAAGGAAAAGGAAAGCGGCGGCGGGGGAAGACTTCAAGAAAGATCCAACTGCCAAAATGCCCAGGTGAGGTGATCGGAGCTGGGGTGTCCGGGGAAGGACGGCGGGTTCCCCTCGAGCCGTTCCAGCTGTCTGCGGGAGCCCCATGCGCCTGGCCCCCCTGGGCCCGGGACACCCCGCCAGCAGGCGTCGCGGTGACCAGCAGCTCCCGATCTGGCTCCTGGCAAACGCGTCCTGAGCTGGGGGCAGCCGCCCCCCAGAGGCATAGGAGTGCGATCATCCCTGACCCCAACGGTCACCGTGGAGACAAAGCAGTGACCTGCCTGTTCCCTCTGCCAGCCCACCAGCCTCCCAGGGTTGCAGCCGCCCACTGACCCCCTGCCCAGCCTTAAGGCCCACAGCCGTTTCCTTCTGTGTAAACTTCTGGGACACCGGTCCACTGTCGGACCCGTCGTCGCATGAAGCTAGTGACAAAGCCGGGCTCCCCCTTTTCTTTCTACCGGTTACTGGACCTTCGAGCCAAGGCGTCCCTCCGCAGGGGCCCTGGCCACGGGGCTGGCCCCACGTGCAGCCGGTGCTGGCATTCGAGCCTGCGGAACGGCCCCTCAGTCCTGCCCGCCCGGCCCGGGCGCGGCGCGGGGCCCGGAGTCCCCAAGCCAGGCCGCTCCCCGCACTCCAGCCGGGTCATACCGAGGTTGAGAAACTGGAAGACCCTGCGCATGGTGTACTTGACGCTGGACGCGTGGTCTTCCAGGCGGAGGATGAGGAGCTGCTCCTTACTGAACACCGTGAGCCAGTCCAGGAGGTACACGGCGTACAGGCCCACCTGGAGCCGCACCTGGCGCAAAGGAGAAGGCGGTTATTTCCGGGAGACCCCCCCACCCCCGCAGGCGCCATTCCTGGGCCCGGCGAGGCTGGCCCTCGGAAGTTGGGTGCCGAACACCATCTGCTTGCTTCTGGTGACGGCGCAGCACGTGCAGGGAGCCCTCAGCCCTCGCCGCTGCCCGAGGAGGCTGGGAGCTCGAGGAGGCCGACGGCGCGAGGCCCGGGCCCCCGACCCGTGGTGCGAACGGGCTTCGTACAGCCCAGGCCACCGCTGCCCCTCCCCGGGACACAGCATCCGCACAGACACCGGCAGGCGCCTGGCTAAGCTGTGCAACTTCTATCGACAGACTCTGGATAGAAAAGGAAATGCTCTGACACATCAGACTTTCCACGCTAACTTATGTTATGACCTCCCTTTTTTTTTTTTTTTTGTATAATCATAATATCAAAATATTCTGAGCAACCTTCAGTTTACAACTGGACTGCCTCAGCCTCGTAAGGCGCTGCCTGGCCCCGACAAGCACGGCACCAGGGGAGGAATTCCTCTTGAAGTCAAGAGTGACTTTATAATTGCGGATTAATAAAAGCAATTGGCTGTTAGAGCAAAGTCAATATTGAGGCAGCACGGGAACATATTTTTTACTGCCCCGAAGGACGAGAACCCAAATCTCACCTCTCTACTATCCCTCACAGCCTCCTATTCAGTTTCTAAAGACCGACTTCAACTTTCTACTACCTAGTCTTTAGATAAGGAGACTCACCCAAGTCTTCTATTCAGAGCTAATCAGGTTTTCTACTGTCTAGACTTCAAGGAAATTCACTTAAGCGGTCTAATTAGTCTTCAAAGAGCTTTGCTTCCTTATGTGATGATGTACAAGAACATTTCCCCTTCCTGCGCTCACTTTACTCTACCCCCTAGGGTGTCTCAATGAGAATGAAAGCAGTCAAGTGGTAGATAGGGTGTAAGGGACTTTATTTTGGTGAATCTTCACTGTGGTAAAGACAGTAATATTAGTCTTAAACTTTGTGAATCTCTGTACCTGTTTTAACCTTGATAGACTGATTTTAAAAATAATGTTGTAATCTCACTAAAGGTCAAAAGGACCCCAGACTATTCTTAAAAAAAAAGGGGGATCGTGATCTCAGCCCATTTCATATGCTGACGTCATCCCTCTGCCTGCTTGAACCCCATAAAATAAACCTCTGCTGACCAGAGCAGGAAGACTCGCACCCAGCTCCCATCCCCGTGTCTTCCTGGCGCCCGCTCCCCCTCCCCGTGTTTTAGGAATCTCCTTCTGCTGACGCCGCTCCCACCTTAGACCCTGCCTGTTCTGCCCCCCAACAACCCGTGAGCGGAGTCAGTCCCCGACAGGCGCCGGAGGTCGGCCAGCTGGTACCCCAGCACGTGGGCCACACTACTGGCCGTGAGCACATGTGTGCGCCCCAATACAGGCAGCGTGCGGAGCCCTCCTGACGCCCTTGGGTGCCGGGCCTCGTCCCTCTGCTGCCTCGCGCACCCCAGACCGCGGCCGGCCACCTGGCCCGAGGAGCCGACTCGGCCAGGCCTCAGCTCCCAGGTGGTGCCTCCAGGCCACCCGGGATGTCCGGCCTGATAAGAACATCTTTGCAGGGGGTCAGGCCGCTGGACATTCTAACAAGGGAGCTTTGGGCTTCCAGTATCAGCCTGACCTCCGGGGAGGGCTGGACACGGAGGTCAGTCAATGGGTATTAAGTGACTGCACCCCAGTGAAGCCTCAGGACCCCAGAGGCTTGCGTGGGCTTTCCTGGCTGACAGTTCCCCCTGGGCGGGGTCGTGGCAGCCCGGCCAGGCCTCAGCAGCATGGGTCCCCTTGGCTGGCTCTGTGTCCAGGGGTGAGGCCTGACCCTGAGTGTAATAGCCTTGGGGTGCTCTGTCTAGTAAGAGATGGTACCTGTGGGTGGTTGGGGGATCCCCAACTAGTAAGTAAACGCAGTCTCGGGTTACTCTGAGCTGAAAGTGAGGTCTCTGCGCTCCCCCGCCTGCCTGAAAGGACTAAATTTACAAGGGTGTCCCTCCTGCCCCGTCTCCCACAAAGGGCGCAAGTCCCTGCTGAGACCCATCACAGCCTGGGGGTGCACCAGAGGGTCCCACAAAGCAGATCTCACCCAAACCAGCCCTTCGCTTCCGATCTCCCCCCCACACACACTGTAGCCACCTCCCCACAACCCGACATCCTTGCCTGCCTCGTGCATAGGCACAGGCGTGGTGTGTCGGGCACTACACAAGCCTGGGTCCTGACTGCCCTCACAGCGCGCGTGCAGGCGCGAGGCGGACAACGTCCGTGCGTCCTTCTTCCACCTGTCTCTGTCAGGCCAGGGACCCACGGCCGTGGCGGGGAAGGATGGCTGTCCCCACCCTGCCGGAACCGGCCATCGCTCCCCAGTCTTCACAGCAGCCGTGAAGCAATACTAATGCCCAGGTCACGCTGAAGCTTCCTGGGGAAGCTAAAACAGGCCCGGTCCCACAGCCAGTAAGCGCTGGAGCTTAGCCCACACCACGTCACCACATCTCCACATCACCACGTCTCCATGTCACCACATCTCCACATCATGTCTCCACGTCACCACATCTCCACATCATCACGTCTCCACGTCACCACGTCTCCACGTCACGTCTCCACGTCTCCACGTCTCCACGTCACCACGTCTCCACATCACCATGTCTCCACATCACCACGTCTCCACATCATCACATCTCCACGTCTCCACATCATCACATCTCCACATCTCCATGTCTCCACGTCACCACGTCTCCATGTCTCCACATCACACGTCACCACATCTCCACATCACGTCTCCACGTCACCACGTCTCCACATCACCACGTCTCCACATCATCACATCTCCACATCTCCACGTCTCCACGTCACCACGTCTCCATGTCACCACGTCACCACATCTCCACATCACCATGTCTCATCATCACATCTCCACATCACCACGTCTCCACGGCACCACATCACATCTCCACGTCTCCATGTCACCACATCTCCACATCACCACATCACCACATCTCC